AAAACAAAACCGGCTTAAACGGAGCCGACGACGGCTTGCAAGTTCTGTTACTACGGCACGCGTCGCATCACACAGGGGTGTATTTAAGGCCGTTTGCACAAAATCTTAGGGTCACTGTAATCTTACTATTTTCTATCTACGACAAACGATTTGTCACACAGCTACGAAACCGACGATCTAGAGAAAGATGAAAGTTTTAAAATGTATTTCAACAAGTGTATTAGTTTGGTGCAACACAATTGGTCCAAGCAAACTAAAATATGACAGGAAACAAACAGTCCACGTGGACTAGTTTATAGCCGTGTTTGCTGCTAAGATGGCTAGGTTTTTCGCGCCACCTACCTCCGCAACGATGAATATACCACACCACAACTTGTGTACAGTAACAGAGCTTTGTTTTTATTGACGAGATTGAGCTCAGAAATGAAACAGATTATATCATAACGGAAAAGATGACATTTAATATTTAATACGTCTCTGTCCAACGCATGATTGCAACGTGTGCCAGAGTGACGTCAGAATTTGCAAGCCACTGTCGGCTCCGTTTGAACCGGTTTTATTTTATTTTTATTCGCAAATTTCGACTCTATGGACGGCTACAATATCTATGCAAGCTACTATACTTGAAATCTTTCTTGCAGACGTTTTGAATTATTGTAAGCATGGTAACTTTTTAATCAAAATGTAGCTGTTTATCAACCCCAAAAAATTTATGACATCTCAAAATTTTGCCGAATAAATTGTAGGTACTACCCAAATTTTGCAAAATATGATGAGTTTTTACTTGTGATTTATCACTGCATTCATATTCATAATCATCCACTGTTATGTTTAGTATTATAGTGCACCAATCCAAGTTGATACACGTGTCCTTGCAAAAATATTGATGACGTCATCACAAAATTGTGCAAAGAAAAACTCAACTCGAAAATCCTAGATATGTTTCATTGTTCTTTCGGTGCAAGGGAGGTTCTGTCGAAACAACTTTCGACCAATTTTTTTACATTTTTAAGAGACATGGAAAGAAGATTTTACATAATAGTAAATAAAAGTAATAGTGACATCCATTAATACAATACAAGACATAAAAATTGGTCTAAAGAGTTTAGACAGTACTTCCCTCGCTGTCGGAAACTTGACGACTGCATGCCTATTGTGTTTTTTTTTCTCAATACATTTTTGTAGTGGGAATTTAAAAAAAAATTGTGATGACGTCATCAACATTTTTGCAAGGACACGTATATCAGTTGGGATAGATGTAGTGTAATACTAAGAATAAAATTATTGTATTCCCAAATTTTCGGGAAAATGAATTGGGTCGTTTTGAATATTGATTTCTTATAATCAATAAAATAACGAAACAATTTACTCACGTATACGGCGTCGGTGTGTAATATCTAACTCGGTACGGCTCGTACGGGATGCGAATTCATTGCGGTTGCGGACTGCACTTCGTTTATTTGAGATTAGAATAACGCTGTTTCGTTGCACTCTGCTGTTAATTCCCGTTCTCATTTACTTAGCCGTTTGATTAATAAATCGTTAATTATATTTATGGAATTAGTACCGATTAAACGTGACGTAGCCCGACAAAAATCCGCTGTCTAGTAATATGAAAGGCAACTGAAAATCGTTTATGTATAAACATTCTTAATTTAAGATGACAAGCGTAACAGCATACGTGAGAGTCAAACAGAGAAACTGTAAACAAAACGACCATCGGTTTTATTGCTTCGACTTCCGCTTATTATACAAAACATTAGGTTTTATTTTAATTCTTGACGGTGAAATTCACAATTGGTTGATTATAAACATGTCTATTTCGCATTCGCGGAACCAAGTGACCGCATAAAACAAATGCAGGTCTGTAATGTTAAAGTCGATGTAAATAAGCGTGCTACCCTTATGTTTCAACCGAATTTTTCCTTTAACAAATTTTGTGTCTACCAAATTGGGTTGGTTGGGGTGTAATACTAATAATAAGTGTTGCCTTTAATTTAATCAATAAAATAAATTGACTTCATTAATTTTTTTGAACCACCTCTTAAGAAAATCTAAAAAATATGAATGGAATGATAAATCACAAGTACAAACTCATCATATTTTTTGCATTTTAGATAGGATTTATTCAGCAAAATTTAAGGGTGACGTCATCAATTTTTTTAGGAGGGATGAACAAATACATTTTGAACAAAAGTTTACCATGCTTATAATAACTTTAAAATATTCCCAAGATTTCAAAGCATTCGGTTTTGTAATTCCTGATTAAATCGATAAAATAAATTCACGCCTTCATTAATTTTTTTGAGTCACCCTGCATATGCAAATCCAAAAATATGAATGGAATGATAAATCACAAGTACAGACTCATCATATTTTGTACATTTTAGATACGATTTATTCGGCAAACATTTGAGCTGACGTCATCAGTTTTTTGTAGAAGATAACCAAATATATTTTGACTAAAAATTTATTAAGCTCTTTATAACCTTAAAACATCTCCAAGATTTCAAAGCATTCGGTTTTGTAGTTCCTGATTAAATCAATAAAATAAATTTACGCATTCATTAATTTTTTTGAGTCACCCTGTATATGCAAATCGAAAAAATTTGAATGGAATGATAAATCACAAGAAGAGACTCACCATATTTTGTACATTTTAGATAGGATTTATTCAGCAAAATTTTGTGGTGACGTCATAAATTTTTTAGGGGGGACGACCAAATACATTTTGATCAAAAATTTACCATGCTTATGATAATTTTAAAATATCTTCAAGATTTCGAAGCATTCGGTTTTGTAGTTCCTGAGTAAATCAGTAAAATAAATTTACGCTTTCATTTATTTTCTTGAATCACCCTGTATATGCAAATCCAAAAAATATGAATGGAGTGATAGATCACAAGTACAGACTGATCATATTTTGTACATTTTAGATATGATTTATTCGGCAAACTTTCGAGCTGACGTCATCAAGTTTTTGGAGGGGATAAGCAAATATATTTTGACTAAACATTTATTATGCTCTTTATAACCTTAAAACATCTGCAAGATTTCAAAGCATTCGGTTTTGTAGTTTCTGAGTAAATCAGTAAAATAAATTTACGCATTCATTAATTTTTTTGAGTCACCCTGTATATGCAAATCCAAAAAATATGAATGGAGTGATAGATCACAAGTACAGACTGATCATATTTTGTACATTTTAGATATGATTTATTCGGCAAACTTTCGAGCTGACGTCATCAAGTTTTTGGAGGGGATAAGCAAATATATTTTGACTAAACATTTATTATGCTCTTTATAACCTTAAAACATCTGCAAGATTTCAAAGCATTCGGTTTTGTAGTTTCTGAGTAAATCAGTAAAATAAATTTACGCATTCATTAATTTTTTTGAGTCACCCTGTATATGCAAATCCAAAAAATATGAATGGAGTGATAGATCACAAGTACAGACTCATCATATTTTGTACATTTTAGATATGATTTATTCCACAAACTTTTGAGCTGACGTCATCAAGTTTTTGGAGGGGATAAGCAAATATTTTTTGACTAAAGATTTATGATGCTCTTTATAGCCTTAAAACATCTGCAACATTTCAAAGCATTCTGGTTAGCAGATTAAAAATTAAATTTCAAAATGTTGTTTTATAATTTTGATTTTTTTTCCAAAAATCTGGACGTTTCGGGTGAAAAGTCGATTCAGAGTTGTAAACTACATGTGTAGGACTATGCTATTTTATACAATTGAAAACCCATTTACTATGTACAATTTTGAAGTGACGTCATCGCATTAGTGGTGGGGATGATTAGACAAATTTTGGTTAGCGTTTTACCATCTATATGATATTCTTAATATAAGTACAAAATTTCACAACAATCGGTCGAGTACTTTCGGAGATTATCTGTCTAATAAAAATCCGGGACGGCAGACGGACAGACGGACGGACAGACGGACGGACAGACAGACGGAAATGGGAGACCTATTTCTTCGTCTTCTAGGGGTCATGAAAGATCGAGAAAACGTAAAAGTAGAGAGTCGGCCGACGGACTCGATTACAATACTTCCTTTGCTTACGCTCGGGAAGTAAAAACAATTTGTGCCCGAAAAAATAAGACTTAAGCAGTCCCAGGATGCGGTTAATTATTTCACTATAATGTTTTATAATGAGATTCCACATTACCTTAAAAAATATAACGCAAAGAATTTTAATAAATCAATTGAAAAATTGTTAATAAGCAGTGCCCACTACAGTTATCACGAATTTCTGGAAGACAAATATATTGTGTACTAAAATGTTTGTATTTATGTTGTCGGTGTTTATTTACTTTAATTATCGTATTTTATAAATTTTACATTATAGGTATGTAATTATATAATATACTTTTACTTTTCCTCACATCTACAAACATCCCGTCTGGAACGTAATGTATGAATAAAATTAGTATTATCAATATTATTATTATTATTGTAAAATAAGACTTACTATTTACCCGAATCCACATTTACTGTTAGTTCAATATTGCTGATTATTCAAAAATCTACCTACAGCATTTACTAGGATTAAGATATGTATGGCATAACGTCCACTAAAAGATCTTTGATAATTTGAACTGCTTAGTACCCCGTGCGCATTTAAAACGTACGTATGTTATAAATATTCAGAAATAATTGAACATTGTCAACTATTAGCAAAACAATAATTATCAAATAAGAACTAAAAACGCAATGGTTCCAATACCTTTGGTTATCTCACTTCGAATATTACAAATAAATATGTATTTGAAAAGTAATGGAACCGACCACTATATTTAAACGACAGCTAACAAAAATTTTCCCTGAAATAAATTGTAAATACTTGCTATCACTACTACGTAACAACCGAAAAAATCCCACCAACTTTACGAAGATCGGAATAAGATGATGACCTTGTCTTTGAACTAAACCTCTGAATAGTCACGCTAAACTTATCCTACACTTTCGAAAATGAACTTTGTGCGTCAGTGTTTCTCAAGAATGACTGTTTACGAAATGAATGAAAGAGAAAATAAAGAAATCGCTAAACCACATACAAAGAATGAAGAAGGATTCTGGCACAATCTGAGAAAGTATTTAAGAGAATATGCGGAAGTAACAGGTCTCCAGGGATTCCGGTACGTTGCCGAAAAACGTTCAACAGCTGAAAAGTAAGTGATGGTCTTACATTAACAATTTTTGTGTGAATTATCAAGTATTTAAGGATTATTTGGAGTTTGCTTCTGATATTTTCATTATATGGCTGTATCTATATGATTTCCGAAATTGTGTACAAGTATGAGAATAGTCCAGTGGTTGTAAGTTTCGCGTCTCAAGATACACCGCTGTATAAAATACCGTTCCCTGCTGTTACTATTTGTCCAGAAGCAAAATATAATAGGTGGTTGTTCAATTATAGTGATATCTTCCATCGGTTAAAGAATAACGAATCAGTGGACGAAACAAAGTGAGTAGTTCAAAAATTTTAAATTAAAAATATTGTTTGAGGGTTAGTAGTTGTGTTTTCTACAAAATTTAAATTTAATTTATTTTGTGTACGACCACCGCATTTTGATCATTTACGGAGTGTGTTTCCAAGCGGTAAGTGTAATTTACTAGTTGCTGCGGGTGTAGCTGTAATTTTAACACGACGACAAGTAATTTCTTTCGTCATCACAAATTGGCTAAAAAACCCTGGAATTTGTTCGGTCGTACACAAAATCATGAATACATCATGAATGTTAGTTAAGAGGTTTACTGGTCGAAGACAAAAGTTTGGAGACGGAGCAAAGCGCCATTTCCAATTTGTCCGAGACACCCTTACTACTAGTAGGAGTATTTTATTAAACTCTGCCAAAACGCGCTGGTTTTCAGTTTGACAAGACGTAAATAGTTATTTGTGTATTAAGGCCATAAAGAAGAACTTTTTTGGCCGATCTGAAGTTTGGGCCCGAGACGTAGCCGAGGCCAATAAATCAGACGTGGCCGAAAAAGCTTTTTTTAGCCGAGACACACAGAACGTTTTTTAGGCGACCATACAAAATATTATTAGTTGCGTAAGTGGTTTTGAGATTAGAAAATATTTGTGGTTGTTGAAAGTTGTTTCGAGAGAACTTCCCTCGCACCTAAAGTACAATGAAGCATATCCAGCATTTTCGATTAAGTTTTTTCCTTATACAATTTTCTTTATACAATTTTGTGACGATGTCATCAACATTTATGCAAGGACACGTATATCAACTTGGAATGTGTAGGGCCCGGACTTTAGTTTTTTTGCCTTTTTGTTCCTGTTTAAGGCATTTACATAAAACTTAGATATAAATGTGTTTCGCAAAAAATAACGTTATTTGAGCCTACTTTATAATTGCCTAATTGCCTAAAATGAGAGTATGTGACCTAAAACTGATTTTTGTGACCTAAAACGTCCTAAACTTGCTGTTTTGTTGTAATTTCACAAAAGTCCACACAATGGGTGAGCCGAAAGCAGACCTTTGTGGTAAGCATGTAATTACGATTTTCATCACAATTTGTTGTTATTTAAGTAACATACTATATTTTATTTTCAATGTTGAATATTCAAGTTTAAATGTGAAAAGATGTTCCATTTGGAACAGCATGAACAAGGAGACATTCACAAAAAGAACGTAAAGAACCCATTGCGTCAAACTTTGCGTCAATTACTTCAATTGATGTAGAAAGATCTTTTTCATGTTTAAAAAATATTTTTTCAGATAATTGCACATCAATGACAAATTAAAATCTAGAGCGATATATTAGCGTGTCATGCAAATGCCCCCTTGAATAAATTATTTATTATAGTATTACGAGTAGGTTCAAAACTTTAAATAATTAAATATATGTATTATGTTAATTAATATTGTGAATAACTGTTAAACAATATAAATACTAAAAAAAACATTGTTTTAGTTGCGTTGAAATTTTGAAGATTTCAGATTTGTAATAACCTATTTCAACATTTTTATAACCTAATTTGAAGTTTTTTAAAGCCTATTTTAGGTGCCTTTTTCCTAATTTTTTGTGACCTAAAATCCGCGCCCTAGTAATGTGTAATACTATATAACAGTATTGTATTCCCAAAATGTACTGGAAAAATGGAGTGAGCCGTTCCTGATTTAATCAATAAAATAAATTGACTTATTCATTAATTTTTTGAGCCACCTATTTAAGCAGATCTAAAAAACATGAATACAATGATAAATCACACATAAAAACTCATCATATTTTACACAGTTTAGGTAGAATTTATTCAGCAAAATTGTGAGATGACGTCGTCAATTTTTTAGGGGGGGATAAGCAAATACATTTATCATGCTTATGATATAGTTGAATTCATCTATCTTTTTACACACGTGACCAAAAGCTAACGTCCGAACTAATAACTGTTACTTTGTAGTAATTAGTCAAAAAGATGACAATGTTCATAACGTCAACATGACACAAATGTGTAGGCTTAGGCAGGTCTTTTGGTTTCGGTGCTTTCCGATTGGATCGTGATTTTGTCGGACTGGGAAGGACGCCGAGTCTTTCTTTTCAAGTTTTAATCTTCGAAACCGTTCGGCGAGTAACGCGTAGAGGATCTGCAACTCGCTAAAAATTTGAGCGAAATTATTAACCATGAACCTTCAAGTGGTTTTCACTTACTTACTCGTTCTGTACCATTTAAGGGTCCCCAGTAGCAGACCGAAAAATGAGCTAAATAGATTTTTATTTTACGGCCGTAATTTCAACATTGAAAAAAAGATCGACATTTTAATTGATAGATTATGTCTAAATCTCTGGGGAACACACAATATTTTTTAAAATAAGTGATTGTTTAGTGTTTAATTAATCGTTCATTCTTCGAAGGAATTTGCATTTTTAGACGAGGAGAAAGCATTTTTCGCTTCAGCTTTTATATCAGTGCAAAGACAACATTGAGCTCTATGGGGAAGACCCGGTCATTTTTGTTTAAAATTTATATTTATCAAAATATTTGCGTTTTAAAAAAATACTGACTAATGAAATCAAATTGAAACTAGGCAACTCTATTTACAAAGGATTCGTTTCCATAAATGGTTGAGTTTGACACAGCAGGGAGCTTTGCCGACCGACCCTTTCAGGTAATCCGTCCAGGTACTTTCATAAACCGTCATAACTCATAAAACTCATAAATACTTTTAGCTTACGAACATTGTTGAAACTCTTTTACAAGTCGACTTCTTTCATTGCTAACATAATTTGAATTAAAAGTATGCAAATTTTTATAATTTTATACATTCTACTAAAACATTTTCTTACAAAAAATTATTCCAGTAGTTTTTACTAATCTGTCATTCTATATATAAATCAATACACAAAACTGGCAAGATTTAGATTCTCATCACTTCACTAACCACTTATTTACCTGAACAATCATATTTATTTAAATTTAATTTTTTGATACTCTTTTCCGCACCACCTATGAGGTAGAGTATTATAGGCACGTTTTTTACGTGATATCTCCAGTAAACCTATTCCAATATTACTATTTATTCCTGTGCGTGTTTATAGTAGAAGGGGAAAATATTTATATGAACTACACATGACGCGAATGCAAATAAAAAATTTTAATTGTACAATCTTTTCTTTACAATTTGTCTAATGGGTTGATTTGTTTAATAACGAGAATCTACTCTCTCCAGAAGTAAGGCATAAAATAAAATTTTTCTCTCTATCTATTTCGCTCTATCATATTATTTTCCCAAAATTTATCATCCCCTTGAATTAAGCATTATTTAAATTGGACATTTTATATATTTCTAAGATAGCGTTTTTGTTTATGAAGCCGTCTGGCGATGCCGCTAAAAATGTACAAACCGCATTGTCTTACTGTCAGTTTGGTGTTACTGCAAAATGCTTCAGTTGCTCTTGCTTCATTTTCTATGCAAAGATTTTGGGAGAGTACATGCTGAACTAGATTTGCAGGGATGTAAAATGTTTTTCACAGTACAGTAGGATTAGCCGTGTTACTTGTTCTCTCATTTTGCAAATTTTACCAAAATAACGTTCGGTTAGTCTAAAGGATTTTTCTGCGCACCATTCTGGATTATTGCGCTCGCAAATTGTGTTTTGTTCGATTAAAAAGACATCAAGGTTTGAAAGTTTTTTGAGAAATACTTTTTGCGCTGTGACATATCAGGTATTTCAACTGCCTCGTTATTAGATACATCGTCGCCCGAGAACTTGTATGATCCAGAGACCGGAGCGCGCTCAGGCCAATGTCGACTCTATAAGCCTCCAGAAATTCTGCGGGAAATAGTTATTATTTAGATGCTTTTGTTTACACACGTCTCACATGTTTCACTCGACTTTGACACTCAACTATTTTTTTTGTTTAACTAAGAATTAATACTTTCACTGCCTTTGATACTAACGTCCTAAATTAGCAATACTAGTGGAACAGTAATCAAGCAATGGATTTTTTTGGGAAAGTACAGTTAATTTTTATGTTTTAGCAGCAATGTGTTCTATTTTCTATTAATTTTTAGGTACATATTTTTAGTCACAATTTTGGTAGTTATTTTTTACTTTTATTTTTAGCAATAACAAATAGTCCAAACATGAAAAAATAAAAAAAAATTAAAATCTGAAAATCTAAAATTTAGAAATCGAGAAATTGAACAATCGTATAATTGAAAACTCGAAACATCGAAAAACTGGAAAATCGAAAAATTAAAAAAAAAATGGAAAATCAGAAATATAATGAATTCCGAAAATTGAAAAACTGAAATATGCATAGAAGAACTAAAAACTGGAGAAATCGAAAAATCTAGAATTTTAAAAATTGAAAAATTAAAATATCGAAAAGTTGAAAAATTGCGAAATCGTATCAGTAAAACATCGGACAATTGAGAAATCGAAAAATAAGAAAATGGAGAAATCGAAAATTTGAAGAATGGAAAAATTGAAAATGTCAAAAATTAAAATACTGAAAAATTGAAACATCAAAAGTTGAAAAATCGAAAAACCGAAAAGTCGAAAAATCTCAATAATTATCTCAGGATTATGCTACTAAAAAATTGATAACATCATCTCAAAATTTTGCTGAATAAATTCTACTAAAAATGTGCAAAATATGATGAGTTTGTAATTGTAATTTATCATTGCATTCATATTTTTTTAGATTTGCTTATATTCCTAGATGGCTCAAAAAATTAATGAATGAGTCAATTTATTCTATTGATTAAATCAGTCTCGACTCACTCCATTTTCCCATAAATTTTTGGAATACTGTTATTTTTAGTCTAATCCACATTGATTTACGTGTCGTTGCAAAATGTTGATGATTTCATCACAAAATTGTGTACCTAAAGTAAAAATTTAACTCGAAAATGCTGGATATGTTTCATTGTATTTTAGGGGCGAGGGAAGTTCTGTCGAAACAACTTTCCACCAATTTTTCTTGCTGTTATATTTGAACATAAAAAG